AATGTTGGGATGTGTTGTGGTTAATGGGCAGGGGACTGCTTCAACCCCACAGGGCCCATCACTGATGAGGGGTGCTCCAACCTGGCCCAGGCTCTGGTGTGTGGGGGAGTTGCTCCAGTCCAGCTGGGCTGGAGTGTGTGCCCCTCCCCTGTCCTCCGTGCTTTCCCCCATTTAATTAACCTTGTTAAATATAATGTTTAACTGGTTAAATACAGGCAGTCCCCGACTTACGCGGATCCGACTCCGCACTTACGAATGGGGCTTTTCTCGCCCTGGAGCTCACGGGCGGCGGATCGCCACCCGTGTCCTCCGGGGCGAGAAAAGCTTCTCCTGGTCTCCCTGGTCTGCTGGGGGGGTCCAGCAAAGCCCGCTGGAAAGCTAGCTTAGTTGGCTTAGTGAAGGATTTTCATTTGTGTAATAGTAAATCCCCATTTGGTGCATCTGTACACCTTGCCTGACAGCTCCTGATATAGGAAGATTGGCCACAATCTCTTCACACCAGTGATCTCTGGCTATCAGAAAGGCCCTTTGTGGTCATGGGCAGCCAGGCATTACTTAGAACTAAAACTGTCTGAAGATTGCTGCAATTTACCTTAGGGATTGATCTGATCTTCAGATAGCCGCAGAGTAAAAAAACACACTGAGGCATGAGAGTGTCTGAAGACCACCTTCCTCTCACTGCCCATCCTGCACTGCACTGGATCACAGTACGTAGCTCATATTTTAGACACACATAAAAACCTCACTTGTATCTATTTCAAATTTTTAAAAATATAAGACAATGATCCAGCAGACCAGGCTTCTGTTGCGGGATGCCTCGGGTAGAGCAGCTGGGGTGCTGCCGGGTTGGTCCTGTGGGAACCTACCGGGCAGCGCCCCAGCTGTTCTGTCCCAGGCTCCAGATTCAGCAGCTGTTGAAACTGATCAGGCTGATTCCAGGAAGCTGGGGGCAGAGCAACTCTGCCTCCAGCTTCCTGTAGTCAGCCCCTGGTCAGTTTCAGTGGCAGCAGCTGAATCTGGAGCCAGTTCCGACTTACATACAAATTCAACTTAAGAACAAACCTATAGTCCCTATCTTGTACGTAACCCGGGGACTGCCTGTAATTAAATGGGATTTTACATCCATATGACTAAGAACAGCAGTGGCAAAAATAGCAGCTTGGCGGGCTGTCAGTCCCAGGACCCAGCATCTAGAGCCAGCAGTTCCTCTGCTGTGGCTGTACCACCTAACCCCACCTATTGCGCTAGTGTGACCAGGAACAGCTTCCGGTAAGCCTGGTACCTGCTCCTGTGGGCATAGCGGAGGGCAATACAGCTACATCAGAGAAGCTGGTGATGCAGGGCAGTGGCTCATCATGCTGCTGCTTTTGCGACTGCGGGCCCTGGTAATAAGTATGTAAAATCCCATTTAATTGGTTAACTAATTAAATACTATGTTTAACCAGTTAAAGTGGAGAAGAGGGGGGGTGTTCCAGCCCAGCTGGAGTGGAGCAGACCCCTGTTTGTGGCAAGCCTTGCAGTAGAATCTAGCAGTTCTGTGGATGTTGATTTATATCTGTAGGGCTCTACACAAGAGATGCCCCAGAACCACCAATTGCAGCACAGTGGTCTTGGAGTGCATACAAAGCTTTAGTAGTAAAGTTCTACAGACTTGTAAGATACTTACTCGAGTTTCCACATGTGACACTTCTAAGGGGATTTGTTCACCTTCTACAAAAACACTGAAAACCTTTTAGGTCTTACCACTTTCAAAGCTGAGTGCCTTAGGACACTATTCTGTGCAAGATCTTAACCTTTAAGGCACTTGTCTTCCTTATTTTTGCCTGTTGTGTAGTGGTGAGAGTGAAGCTTATTGTGTGGCAGTAGGAGATGCTTGGAAATCTTTCATTTATATTATGGTTTTCCCTTCACAGGATGATTCCCCAGGAGAGGGAGATTTACCCTTTCAGCTCAGTTCTCAATCTTCCACATCACATTCTCAACTTACAGCGGACTTACCTGTTCATATCCTTCAGGTATAGCACTTGAGAACTATTGATTTCAGTTGTCATGTTAGTTGCAATGAAAACAATTTTGCCCCTACACTTTTGCTGTCCTACTTAAGTGTTCTAAGACTAAAGTCTTATTTCACAATATCTAGCTCTGACAGTGAGAGGAGGTTTGTTATTGGAGTTAGAGACATTGTAGGAGGTTGTTTTGGCTTTTTTCCCCCTCATATTTTGGTCGATGTTGGCTTTTGCCCCAAAGGGTAGCCTCCAGAGAGATTCCACAATTTTTATGGTCCCCAAGAAGAGGGACGAAAACCTGGCACCAGACTCTCTCAAGTGCTCTGCGCTTACGATTGTGATGTTGGATTTTCAGAAAAGCTCTGTTCCTGTTTAGGCACCTAAATATGGTGTGACTAGATCTTCAAAAGTCCTCTGCACCCAGCTGCTTCCATTGGTACCAGTGGGGCTGCTGCTAGCCAAGCGTTTCTGAAAATGCAACCATTTCTCTAGATGCCCAAGTGGAAGCTCTCTGGATAATGAGTGTTCTGAAAATCAGGTGCTTGGTTTTAAAATTTTTATGGGAAATCCTAGAACTGTTAAATCCCCAAATGAGTACAGATTGGGGCCAAGTGGTAGTCCCAGAAGAAGTGTGAAGATGTCAAAAGATTCTACCCTTCCATATTGATGGGTATCACACCCCGTTGCTGCTGCAGTTATATTTTTAAACAAACACGAGCTAATGACAACTACCAGGAACATAACCCCTGTAGCAACTAGGGCTGCTACCAAAGAACCACCCCTAGTGGAAACTGGGGCATAGAGAAAATACCTCTGCATTAGTGTAAGTGTGCTAGAAAACACTACTGCTCTGTGCTGTGTAAAAATCACCTTTGGTTAGCAGTGTGAGTTACTACCTTTTTTTTTTGTTTGTTTTTTTTTGTTTTTTTTGTTTGAAGGCTCTTACCATGGTACTCCAGTGCAGCTCCACCAAATGCCCCTTATATCCCAAAAGCAACATGGGCAAAAACTGCTGCAAAACTCTTTTGCAACCTATTTAAGAAACTCCTAATATTTACTATTCTAACCAAATATTCATGAACATGGGCAACTATGTAACTAAGAACCAAATGCTAACATCTTTGTGGAGAGTAATAGATAACTTTTTTATGACTGTTCTGGAGCTTTCCATTTGTCAGGTTAACTGCAACATAGTGTTTGAGCAAAATATTTATGCCTTTTCTAGTAGGGGGAAAAGTAATTTTTATACCTTCTTCCCAGAATTATCCATATCTTGAACAATCCTATAATCAGTTGGTGGATACAGAGCAGAGGCTGGATTATTTCAAATTCTAAACGGTTAAATTGTCAGTTTTCTTTGTTTTTGTCAACAGTAGTCAGTCAGGATCCACCCCGTCCCATTAGCATTTTAATGAAATGAGACAACTTTAAACTTACTGCGAAGTGTTCAGTGAATTTGGTTTCTTGGTATAATCTTGAATGAATTTGAAGGTAATGAAATATTACAAAAATGGAATGCTTGTGACAAACAATGAAAACCGAACAGGGGAAAACTTTGTCTGATTTCCAAACTTTGTTTACTTTGTTTTGACAGGAGCCACACAACTGCACAGAAGATGATGCAGGTTCTGATAACTCTCAGTTCACTGGAAGCACAATAAATTTACAGGACTTGGAATGATTCTTAGGAGTATTAATTTAAAAACACAATGATGCAATCATGTCTCGACAAAGCAAAAATAGTTCCAGTGTCTCAAGAAAAATATAATTAGTATGATCACACACCTACTATAGTTACATTAAAAGGATTAAAAATAAGAATCAGTAAACCCTACATGACATGGCTTATAAGATGTCCTTTCTGTCTTGTGGTGAAAGATGATGGGGGCAGACTTATTGAATTACATTATAGAAAAGTGCCATAGCTATTACATTTCTAACCAGGGTAATAGTTGTCCTGTTTCCATAAGAATCAAATATGTCACAGATAATGAACAAATACAAACTTAAAATCCTTCAAGTGACCCCTTTAAACTTTTCCTCCATTAGGAAAGGTTTCCTACTTGAAATGAATAAGGAATTAATATCCTGAAATATTTTCCCCAAACTTGTTTCAGCCCTCTTCTCTGTTGATGGCAAATTGTGCTAAAATAGCTTTCAAGACAATGTAGGAAACCATTATAAAGCCCATAAAATAGGGCTAAGAAACAAATTAAAATCCCTTGGATAGCAAAAATATGGATTAATTATTAACTGTGAATGGGTTTTGATGCCTATGTTGAGCTTCTTCTCCCCCTCCTTCATCCCAAATAATATTTAGCTGATTTTTCTTTTAGCAAGACTTGAAAAAAATAAAACTTTGCTAGAGAACTGTATTCTCTATAAGAAGTTAGCTAATGTTCCAACCGCATTTGACAAGTCTGGTCTGTCTTAACATTGCCTGTTTTGGTGGAATGTTTGACAGCCATTCAATCTGAAGCACCTTCATTATATCTTTGTAATACAAAAAGTGTTTCCAAGTCACTAATAACTAGCCACTTATCTTTGTGAATGATATATTCTGTTACTACTTGATCTTCCTTAAAATCTAGAATATCTAATGAGCAGAGTGTCCAGCTTGCCTACTGATTACACAGTTTTAGAGGAAGAGGAGAAATATTGTTAACTAGGAAGAAATTGTTAACTAGGGAGAACTGCCTCGTTTGGAAAACTGCAGTTTCTAGAAAAACAGCTGTATGTACTGTACTTAACTAAATTGCGTGAGCCTGAATAAGCATAGGGTTATATAGATTCTCAGTGGGAAAAAAAACAACACATTTTGGTTATTAAATTTTAAGGTAAAGTTCATGGTAATGTACTGAATGCCTATAAAATTATGTATAGGACTTCGATAAAGGGGTGTATATGGGTTTTATTCTCAGTGAGTTGAGTGTATGCACGTACATGTATATATTTTTTAAAGAATAAGATGTCATGCAGAAGAACATTGAGATCTTCCTAATATTGCACATATTTATTTATTTAGTTAAATACTGTTGTTGAATTCACCTGAGGTTATTCAGAAATGCTTTTACTTCCTGTGCCTTGTATTTGTCCAGATAAATACTTCTTTGTTTCTGAGACTTGAAAACTGTATACATGCTATTTTCACCTCAAACTCTGATTTGCAGGCAGTATTTTGTCCTCTAGGTGAGAGGTAGTTTTTCTCTCTGTGGTGGCCAAACACTTGCATTGGATTTTCCTATGCTCACGCCCAAGGGATCGCTAGCCTGCCTCAAGTGAGGTCTCCAAGCCAGTGTGAGTCAGTGAGCAGATTTCACCCACTTATGGAGACTGCTATTTTTGTGTGATTATGGAGTCCATTGTGGAAGAGTTAAAGGGTCTTTTCAGTCATCTTCAGGAACACAGCACTGTTGAACAGACTAATGGGTCTTGCTGCTTTAGAGCAATAATTTATGCTATCTCCGGAAGCTGTGTCACCCTGAACGCCAAACTCCTCTTGATCTTCATGGAACCATACCAGTTGTTCTTAAATTAAGAAAACGGTGAAGAAACAGACTTTCTTTCTATAGGACTTAAAACTGCATCTGTTTCTACTTCTGAAAACGTACCTCACTTGGCTTTGTACATGAATGTAAATTGCTAACTGCTTGGGGCCGAGACTTAGGTTGATCGGCTTGACGTTCATTGCTGGCAATGGACATCTGAAGAACTGCTGGTGCAAAAGGATTAATAAAGCTTTTTTTATGGTCACTGTGTCATTGGGTTTGTTCTTGATGAGTAATATTTTGTAAATGAAAAGGTATATACTTATTGGCTTAAACTAATACTGAGCAGCTTTTCACCCACAGTACTTATTCATTTCTCTTGACTCTTGTAGGTTCAATAGTCAGAAACCAGTGCTGAAACTCCAACCCCTGGAAGGATGTTTTATTTGCACAGGCTTGGGGTTTGTAACAAACCTCTGGCTGGAAACCTGGCTTTGTTTTGTTCTAACTCAAGATGTCATCATCACGTGTAATGAACATGATTTTGTAAGACTTCAATGTTATGAAGAACCCTGTTGCTGACAGTTGGCCTAGAGGCAAAATGTAGGACGGTGAGTTTATTTTTCTAGGTAAACAGTCATTTAAAGCAATGACAAAATAGCTGTTGGCTCACATAACAGGCTTCATTGAAACTAACTACTCTTCTGGGAAGCGAAGATCAGCAAGAGCAAATGAGAGATTTTGTTGAATTCCTTAAAAAATTTGTTCATAATGCAAGACCCGCAAACTAAACAATATTCCCCAGTCAGGTTGCTACAAGGTTTTTGCATCTCATTTGTGCTGTCCTTAATTTGCAGCCTTATTTGGGGTCTTAAGTAAAGTAATAGAGTGCTTCTTCCTTCTCTTTATCAATCAGTCCTTGATCCTCATATTCCTTCTCTTTGACAGCCGGGGGCTCAGAGCGGAATATCAGCTTTCTGCCAGTCTGTAAAGAAACAAAATGCAGGCACAGCAATGGTGGAGAGGGAATAGCTTGGGTGCAAATGCTTCTAATGTACAGCCCCCAAACTCAGCCCAGGAGAAGTGGGGTTAACATGGATTTTGGCTACATTGGTACCCTGATCCTGGACTTCTTCAGGGAGTAGTGGTCCTAGGCATAGCAAAGTCCTCAGGGCCAGCCTTTGGATTCTGGGCAGCCTTGGGAGGCTGCCAAAGCTTGTGTTGCATATTGTAGCAGGGCAACCACATCCCTTCCAGTGCTTGTGAGGGACCCTCAGAAGGGAGCTTGTCTCTTGTAGTTCTTGCATTAGGGCTCCTGGATGGCTACAGAAATACTAGGGCCCCTTTTATCAACATTCTAGCCCGCTTAGCCACTGTCAGGAGCTTGGAGCAGGGGTGAGGATTTCACTCCACATCCTTAATGTTAAAGGGCATTGAGATTTTTCCATTAAAAAGATGCAAGTATAAGTTACAAGTATAATCAGGGATTGCTTAGATTACCTTTTTCTTTATATCTGCTTGTGCTCTTGCCAGAGCCCTTTGCAACCGCTCCTCCTGTAACTGCCTCTGTTGTCTTACTTTTTCCTCCCTCATCCTTTCAGAACAATTGAGCAAAATAGGAGTTAAAATGGTGGACTCTGCAAAGTAGGGTGCCTTTTTTACCCAGATTTTCAACAAGAAAGGACAAATCCATGAGAGGTGAATGTTTTGTGATACAGCCTATTTAATTCTTCAGGGAATTCTAAAGCAAAAGTGAAACACTTGAGTGCAATTGATTATTTTCTCTTCCCACTCCCCCCACCCTTATGCCAAAAATCCCCTTTCACTTCTCGGGGGAGATAAAGCATAAGTGAACTGAAGGGAGGAGATCATGCTTTTATTTCTGGATCTGTCCCTCCCTTTCTGTGTGCATCCCCTTCAGCAACTTAACCCCTGTCAAATAGGACTAATGGCACTTTGAGGGATAAATATACTTACTGGCATCTTTGACTTAGTAGGGGTTTGTCCATTTTTTCCTTGCCTAAAATTACTATATGAAGTAGCAGGGCAATGAAGAATCTGTTCCACTGTGCTCTATGCATGAAAAGCACAGAGTAAATGGTATTATGAAAATAATCTGAAATGACAGACTGTCCTGGCTGATTTACGTGAAAAAGGCTTCCTCCCTTATTATATAGCCATTATACTTGACAAGCCAGTGTGATTATTCTCAAAATTCTGTTCTAATTTTAAATCCTTTCATTTAGGGTAACTTCATTTCCTGGCACTTTTCTTTTCTACAGTTGTGTTGGGGTTTTAGATTTTGGATTATTTGGTTTGGGTTTTTTTGTGTGTGGAGTTTTTGTTGTGTGTTTAGCTTAAATAGTGCTCACAATGTGGCATAACCTGAGGAAGGAGATTTTTTGGGGTGGGGAGAGAGGAGGAAGGAAAAGATGGGGGGAAAGATACGTGTTTGTTACTGAGTTCCTTCTACCACTTCTACTTCCTCCTGCAGATCTGACCCAGATGACAATCTGATCACTGGTTCACTTCTTAGGATGTTAAATGATCATCTATATTTAGCTTCTCAAGTCAATGAAAGTGCATCTAATTTTAAAGCAGAAATGTGGTGGGGGAAGAGTATGGCATTTTCTACTAATATTGGGTTAGCATTTTGGCACTTTGCAGAGGCAAAATATTTGATTGAAAACATGGCAATGTCATTGAATTTTCCAAATACTATACTGGAGAATAAACTGGGATTTCCACACATGCCCTCCTATCTTTCAGCATACTATCTTCACAGGAATGATCAAAATGAAAATATAAATTGAACTACAGAAAGGAGATTTCTTTCTGCCTGATCAGTTTATATTTTGCTGCTGCTAGATATGTTAGTTTTAGAATTAATCATACCAATTATGTATGTATTGATATGTGAACTTTTTAATATACCTGTTATTTCTTCCTGCTTCACTAAGGGTGTGTCTACACAACACCCTAAACTTGAAATAAGATACACAATTTGTGCTATGCAAATTGCATATCTTATTTCAAATCCATTTTGAAATTTGCGTCTAAAAATTTCAAAAATAACATCCTATTTCGAGACCTCTCTTAACCCTTATGGAATAAGGGTTACCGGGATGCTGAAATAGCACTCCTGTTATTTTGAAAAATATTTCAAAATAACGAGTGGCTTGTGTAGACGTGGGGTAGCTATTTCGGGATACCAGAGGTATCCCAAAATAGCTGTGCAGCGTAGGCATACCCTAAGAGATGCAAGTAGTTTCACAGACTTCTATTTTTATCTTTGGAGTTTGAAAAATGTTAATGTTGAAATGATGGTGTGATCTCACCTAAATAGGAGTAGTACCACAGCCAGAGCAGAATTTCCTCTTACCTCATCCTTCGTTCTTTTTCTTTAGCTTTCTCTGCCTGCTCTATCTTTGATACAGGGACTCTCTCCAGACACTCCAGTAGGTCATCTAGTTGATGCTCTATGACTGTTAGCATCTGCAGGGTTCCCAAGTTGGCCTCGTTTTCTCCAATGCAGCGTCGATAGACATCCGTCACCTTTTTGTTCAGGCTCACCAACATTTTGTCCTGGAGACGAGAGGCAAGTTGGGCAGTCCTCAGCTGCTGTAAACTGTCTCAGCCCCTAAGGACCTGCCCAGCAAAATCTGCTTCACCCCAACCAAAAAGCTGAAATTAACATTTCAATTCTCTTAATAGCATTTGTTCCTCATCTCATGTTTTGACTGTCAGAATCTAGCTCCATTGTGTTGCATAAATTGCAAGGTTCGTCCCCTGGAGGCTAGTCTAATTTGCCCACAGAAGAGAGTCACACTTTCAGGCTGGGTCCAACTCAATTTTATTGCTTGCAAGCAAGGTTCAGCTAAGAAGCTCAGTGCTTAAAGCAAAGCCGACCCTGGGCGTTGGCTAAGCATCCTTTTTTATAACTTTCTTGGACTTCCTTATCTAACTTGGTATGTCTTGATTTGTTAGCTTAGCTTCATGTTGCAGCGTTATTGGTTAGCATACTTCAACTTTATTCCACTCAGTAACGACCACCAGTATAGCTTACTTAAGCAATTAACAAATTTCCCTGACTCATGTAGTACGTGCAACCCTTTGAGAAATGGGTCTGAACAGCTAGTTCCTCTTTTTACTACAGCTTCTAAAACGTGTGCAATCAGCTAAATGATACGTGCTGTTTCAAGCTTAAGCAATGGAAGGGGGAAGAAGCACACTTAGTTTTTACTACAACCCCGAAGGGGACCTTCATGGCTGGAAATCTGAAGTCTTTTTTGGCCACAGGTGTGCGTGACCATGGGAGGAAGGAGGACAGGCTGACATCTCACCTCCAGTCTTTCACTTCTGTAGGGTCTTGATCTCTGCACATACCTGCACATCTGCTTTGTACTCTCCAAAGGAAAAGACGCGTGCCTTCAGTTCCAGGTCTGCTGCTGTCTCCTCTTCTTTGACGATGGAGGCTTTGAGGGTGGTTGCAAGCTGTTCCAGCTGCTCTATCTCACAGTCCCTTGAGGGAGAAAAGGGAGATATTTTTGTAAAGGATCTTTTTTTAAAAAAAAAAAAAAAACACTGCTTTCTTCCAGGGTCTTTGCAAACAGTGGCTATAACTCCTCCAAACACCAGTGGAGCTTGAAGTTTGTGACAGCATTTTCCTCTGTAGGGTGATTGGTTGGTAAATACATTTGTTGAAATTCTATTCCCAATAGCCCAGAGAGGATATTATTTTCTGTGCATTGGGGGTGGGAGTTAAATGGTGAAAAGTTTCAATATGTCAAAATAGGAAGATTCCTACTTAAAAAATACAAGAGGCTAATACACATCTGAACCACAGACTGATTATTCTTCATGTGTATTGCAGTTGTGTCTAAATGCCCGACATGAGGCACAGTGTGTAGTAGAGAATCTCTGCCCTGAAAAGTTTACAATCTAAATACACATGGGAGGAGGAATAAAATGCCCATGTGGCTTCCTGTAGAAACACTTTCTCATTTATACTTGAATTGCTTGTTGATTTCCACTAGAGAAGATTCTCACTGGAATTATCACAGACATTGTAGTTTATCCCTACGTGAAAGTCCTGTATGTAATGCTGTACAGAACTTTTTGTGCCTTAAATAGTAGCAACACATGGTGAATGATCAGGAGCATTGCACATCAATTCCCTAGCTCCCTGTGATTTGGGGAGCAAATGACCAACTCAGAGCAAAAGTCAGAGATCCTTTTGGGCAGTGCATAGACCACTGTCCCAATAGCACCCCCCTCCAATCCTGTGGTAAAAAGGCAGTGCGTTCAATGCAGTTCAGCTGGTTAAGTGTGAGAGAGAGACTCCTTTTTCATCATGTACATAGCTGATACTTCTTTTTACCATAGGCATTAGCGCTAGGATCTGGGGCCAGAGAGACCCCAAGCATTCTAATGATAGAATATATGCTGCCTCTTTCAGCCACTTACATTTTACTTCGCGTGGTGGTGAGAGTATGCCGGAGCTCATCCAAGGTTTCCTCTGTCTCCTGGGAATTCTGGATAAGGGACAGGTTCTGTTCTTCCAGCTCAGTGAAAATATTCAGCAGTTGCTGGGGATTAGTAAAATATAACTCTGGCTCCTGGGATGGAGAATACAGAATATGTGTGGGCATATATCTTGTCTGGTGATACTAATTTACCAACTTATTATGTGGGTGCTGAAGTTTAGTCTGAACTTCATAGTGGCAATGTATAGTTATTATTACAGTACATAGCTTGTGACAGAGAACAAGCCAGGTCATCTGTCCTAAAGAATTTACATTGTAAATAAACAAAAGCAAGATGGTTGCTCAGGCAAGAGAGAATGTGGGGATTTTTAATGGCTGAGAAGATGGGAGAAATCATCCCTTGGAGTGTAGGGTTTTACAGGAGAGAGGTCTGGTTGGAAGGGCGTAAGAGAAGTGTTCCAGTAATAAGGTTCAGCCTAAAAGAAGGAAGGCACAAAATTGAGAATGAGAATGAATATGAAGAGAATGGGTGGAGCTATCAGTAGGAGCAGAGTTAATCTAAGGAGGAGGTTGAATTTGAAGGTGTGAGGGACACATTGCCAAAGATGGGATTTGAGGACTAGGGGTGACGTTGTCGCTGCAGAGGAGGACTGCTTTCACAGGAGTGCTGGACAGATAGAGGAATGCATTTGTTTACCTGGCTTCTTGCTGTTTTGTTCTTATTACACAGGTTGGGTTGGACTGCCTAATGCCTTTGTGTAGCCCTGCTGTAGAATTGTGTGAACAACCAGGCAGTTGTTTGTGGCTCTTTACAGACCCCCCCGCCCCCCAAGCCATCAGTGCTACTCCTGTCTCAGCAAGATTTCTTACTGCCTTTCTACAAAATTGACTATTTACCTCCTCACCATAGGGCTACGTCTACACTGCAGGCTTCTTGCGCAAGAATGGCTGTTCTTGTGCAAAAACTTGCGGAGCGTCTACACTGCACGCGTGTTCTTGCGCAAGTAAATTTACAGTAAAGCTTTGGAACAGAGAGCTTCTTGCGCAAGAGTTATTCCTCTCCCCACAAGGAATAAGCCCTCTTGCGCAAGAAGGCAGTGTGGACGGGCAACAGGGGTTTCTTGTGCAAGGAATCCCTATGGCTAAAATGGTCATCAGAGCTTTCTTGTGCAAGAGAGCATCCAGAGGGCCAGGGATGCTCTTGCGCAAAAGCACATGGCAGTGTGGACACGCTCTTGTGGAAGATCTTTTGCACAAGAACTCTTGTGCAAAACAGTTCTTGCGCAAGAAGCCTGCAGTGTAGACATAACCTAGGAGTTTAAACAGTGCAGGATTTATGCACAAGCTAAATAAGATACATTTTTAGGGCCTCAGATTATGAGAGCCTCTAAATACAAAAAATAATTACTAGTTTAGTTGCATCCTTGCCTATGTACTGGTATATAAACAAATATAAAACTTTATTATTTCTATTTTTGTTTTCCTTCCTGTTAGAATTATACACGTTTTAGTAATGATAAGGGACTCTTAAACTTGACACAATGAGGTAATGAGGAATGAAAGCAGCTGTGGGTACTTCAGAGGTGGTGTTATAAAGAGGGGGGGCCTGTGACAAGACTGTGGGGGTTGATTCTGATATCTGAACCCTCCCCCCATCTTCACTTTTCTTCTCATCTCTCCATAGAAGGGCAGCCTGTTAGAGCAGGTCCTGGCCAGACAACTGAGTTCTAGGGCTCATTCCCTTTTAAGATCTAGGCATTGTAGTTCCCCACCTGAGGCATGTGACTGAGAGGAGCCATGTGAGTGAGGCTGAAAGTGGGGCCTGCTATAAATGAGGCAGCTTGCATCCTGAGCTTGTCTCTGGCCATTGTTGTACTTCAGCTGCCCATCCCCACCACTGCCATACTGCTCCTGCCCATTGCTTACTGTGCTGGGTGGGGGAGGCAAAAGAGGGAGACACTGATGTCAGGGTGTCCCCTCCTCTTATCCCTGTATCCCATCTACACATAGTGAGCAGTGTTAGGCCTCAGAAATGGGGTGGGGCAGAGCAAGGCCTCAAAAGAGGCAGGGAAGGAGGTGAAGCCAAGGGTATTTGGGTCTGAGGTAGATCCTGGATTGACTTACATCCAAAAAAGAGAGCTTGGAGACCACTGTCAATTGGAAGAAGGTTTATGTAGAAATAAGCCACTTTTAAACCAAAGTAAATGTCCATGCAAAAGGTAACTAAACTGATGCAAGTATGTGTGTGTGTGTGTACAACCCCTCTATAGGAGATATCAGACTGAGGCAAGCCATGAGCTGGGGTTCTTCACAGAGGACCAAGGCAGTAGGTTGCTGATGGCCTGCGAAAGTCTGGTACAGGAGAGGAGTGGCAGGGAGAGGGTCTAGAGACAGGCATTTAGGAAGTGACCCTGGGAAAAGCAAAGCAGGGTTGAGGACCTAGTGGAAGAGTTTGGGCTCCCTCATTGGGTCTGCTGGAGGTTATGCTGCAAACAGAGGAAGGAAGCTGTGGCCCAGAGAACCCCAGATAAAGTAAAATGTGTTGAGAGCACTAGGGAAGGCTGTGGTCCAGCACTGAGACGAGATGAAAAGATTCTGGATCTCTTCATTTTGCCTGGTCTTTGTTTACACCATAAAGGAAGGACTTGTTTGGGCTAGAAGATTTGCCTACTTAAATCACCAAAATATCTAAGCACCCAAGTGCCTGATGTGCTGAGGAAATGAAAAACCAAGGTGAGGTGAATCTGACAGATGCAGAATGCCATATCAGACCAGGTAAGAAACCACTATGTCCCAGTAAAAAACCCATTATACTCTTCCTTTCTTGACATTCACTGACTTCACCTCCCTCCAGTAAGGGAACAGAAGGTCCTTTACTGCCCTTCACCATCTTAATTATTGCTCCTGATGTCCCCAAGAGTGAAGGTTAGGAAAGTAACAGATTAAAGACAGCTGCTAGCAATAAGCTGCCACCATAATTGGCCCTGCCTAGATGAGGAAAGGTCATGAATGCAGTTGAGCAAGAGCGTATCAGAAATGCAGGGTCTCTTACACAATGATGGCTGACTTTGGAACAGACTGCTGTGACAGCTCAGGCCCTCCCACTGCTCTCAACTCTCCATTACCTCTTGGGACCATATATCATGGACGGCTCCTAACTCTCACATGATTTTCTCCTTGGAGAGAAAGGGGTGTGTGTGAGAATTGCACATGACAAAGGCCAATCATATGTTATAATGCCCCCTGGGAGGCACTTACCTGCAGATCTATGCTCTGAAGGTTGATCATCTGGCATTCGATTTAGCAGGTCTAATATAGACCCATAAATTGAACGCTGAGGACAGCTCTTGCCTGTGTCCGGTACTCCTCCTTTTGTGAGGCGCATGGGAAGTCACTTAAAGTAAGCCGACTCTAGCTATGCATGTTGGTAACTAGAGTTGTGCACCTTATACCAACCTTCCTGATGTAATAGGGTATGTCTACAGTACAGTGTTATTTCGAAATAGCTTAATTCGAAATAACGCATCTACACACAAAATGCATTTCGAAATAGCACATCCACACTGAATAGACTCTGAATCGCATTTAAGGCTGGCCTGAACCAGTTCCAGCAGAATACCAGGTCAGGACTTACTAGGTGGGGCTGCTGCCTGAGGCCTGTGCTAAAAGGGACCCCCCCGGACAGCCAGTTCTCAGGTTTCCCTGCTTGCTTGTCTATCTCAGTGAGGGACAGAAAAGCATTTTGTCTCTGCGTGCTCTGGGTGCCCTCACTCGGGACACCACAGCACTCTGCAACATGGAGCCAGAGCTGCCCCTGGGCGCACTGGATCTTCTCTTGTACACGTTGCTGTGAGCCTGGCTGCACTTTCTGCAGGCTGCCATCCAGGAGGTCCATCGGGGGGCTGTCAGTATCCAGGGAGCCCTGCAGCAGAGCTTCCACCCTGAAGAGCACTAAGGGTATGTCTAGACTACATGCCTCCTTCGACGGAGGCATGTAGATTAGCGAGATCGGAA